AGACAGTGATATTGGGACTTTTGGGTTTGAACATGGTAAGAGACAAAGTCACAATCACAACTATAACAATGATCAAAAAGAGTAGGAACATGCACAAGCAAGTTTTGAGACCTCTAGATGCCATGGTTTGGGATTCTAGGTTTAGGGGATTAAGAAAAAAAAAACGAAAGATTTGGGAAAATTGACTATGAAGTTTGATATATATGTATGAATTAATTCAAGGAGTGATTCTGTTGGGATGAAAAAATTCAAGGGTATGAAAATTTGTGATTCCGTTGAATTATATGTGATACCTGTTTGAATATATATATATATAGGGAATGCTAATATACTCCCACACATATAAGAGAGAGATAAGGGATTCATTTATCCTAAAAGTTACTTTACTTAATAACTTGTACTCTACAACAAATTTTAACAATTCAATCATTAAATTAAAAATTCTTAATGCATAGATCAAGTTTGTAAATTTTTAAAATTTTTGAAAATTATCAGATACTTTGATATATATAAATTTAAATCAATATATAAAATAATTTTATGATTATCTGTTAATTTGAATTAATGAAACTAAGTATCCAATAGTTTTCAAATTTTTAAATTTTTTGCAGACTTGATCTATGCATTAAGAACTTTTAAGTAAATCTCTCTTCTCTCTCACACACACACAATATATATATATATATATATATATATATATATAAGGAGTTGACTTAACAAAAGTATTTATGTAACATTAATTATGTTGAGGTGAAAATATCTTTTTAATCTTTATAGTTTCACTTACTTTATCTTTTAATTCATATAGTTTAAAATAAAATTTTTTAGTTCCTATAGATATCTTTTTCAATTATTTTTAAACTCTATAGTTTAAGATAAATTTTTATAGTCTCTATACTTGTATTTTTTTTTAAAATCTTTTTAGGCTATGTTTTATAACATTGTCTCTTTTATTTTGACATGGTATAAATATTAATTATTGTATTTTTGGTCTCTATTGTTATCAATCCACAACTTTAATCTTTCTATTTTAAAATAGAGACATTTAGTCCTCAAATTTTATAAAATATGAAATTTTGATCCTTTCATCAATTTGATGTTTGTTGATCATTAAATTTTGACATTATTCGATGACTTGTCATCACTGAAGTAATGTGATACTTAGTGACATGACGTACAAGGATAAAATTTTAAAAAAAATCATACAAAAGATCTTCGTTTGTTTTTATTTTTACAAGTGGTTAATATTTATTCTATTAATAAAAATTTATTTAAATGTTTTTTAGTTTTTTATTTTTAAATATCAAATTACTAAATTTTATATCACTTAAGTATGAGTAAACATTCAAACTTAATGATTAATAGATATTAGTTTGATGGAAAGATCAAAATTTCGTATTTTAAAAATTAAAAAAAATATCTATATTTTAGAATAAAAAGAAAAAATATAATTTAACATAAGTAAAATTATAAAAATTAAAATAAAAGTTGATCTATCAACTTGTCTAAAGTGTGGCATAATTTGGTTTTTTATTAGATATAAGTTGATTTAACATTTGATTGTGCTGATCGAATTTATATTCTCCACGACAATTTGAACCAATCACATCATAGTAAATAAATAAATCTGGTCTAAATTAGTAGTTAAATAACACAAACAAGTTAATCCACATGAACTGCCACAAACAAGGCAGAATTCGAATCTCTAATCTTACTTAAGCGTGGATCAACCCCTATCGCTAAACCACATGCTTCACTTTGACCAATATAATTAATATATATATATATATATATATATATATATA